GAATGTGGGTTAATATTCATCTGTGTGTGAGTTTTTGTATACATATGTGGGGGGGGGGGGTATGTGTACATCTCATGGTGGGGGTTAGTGTCCATCAGGGGGTGGGGGTTTTTGCCGTCTGTGGGTGGGGTTTGTTTCCAGTTGTTAGTTAGGGGGTTGTGTCCAAGTTTTTTTTCTTCGGGGAGTGTGCCCGTTTGGCTTTCAAAATAGACAAAGATATTAGTGACTGTTTGTAAAGTATTTTTGTTAATTTGGTTTTTATAGGTAAGCAAGTTATCAAAACTCTCATTTAATGATTTATGACGCTGACACAAAATATACAACGGTACATGCGCTAAGATTGTTTTAAGTAAACTCTTAAATTCGCTTTTAATTATATTTATGGCCCATTATCTAATTTTGTTAAGCGTGATGCATTCTCAACAATTTATTCAAATTAATTTAGGCTTAACTGGGCGCTAATTAGTTTAGCCGCATTTAATGCACACGGCAATGTCTATGTTCCTTTTTAATTAGCTTCTGTTAGAAAAGTTTTCGTACTGGGATTAAGTTGTTTAAAATTAATGTTTGTTTAGAATGAGCCTTAAAATCTTTGTACTTTAGATTTGTTAAAAACAAATACAAATATTGGTTGGCCATACTTTAAAACAATAAAAAAATCACAAGTTTTATCTTAGTAAAACGGCAAATTTGTTATTTTATGTATTGAAAATTAGGAAATTTTATTTCTTAATGTAAGAACTAGCCCATACCTGTTATATTAAGTAAAGTTCCTCTTTAGACCTAGTGATTGATTTGGGAAGAGGAAGTAGAGTTTATACGTTTCTTGACCACGTCATAAGTAGGGATAGTGTGGCCAGCACTATGCCCAGCCCCTTTTGCTTTCCCGAACGTAATGCAGGTACCTATTGGTGTTGGGTGGAGTCAGGGACCTCATACAGTCACAAGTCCGAACCAAGATCTGAACTCGAGAGCTTCGGGCTGGCAGACAAACGCTCTACCATTCGACCATACCGTCCCGCCATTTATATTACGTGCTATAAATTCCACTATAAATAATCCAGTTTTAAAAATAGTTTAGGTTTTTTTCTCATTTGTAACATTATTAAAATATTCAGTCCCTAAAGAGTTAACATGTTTCACCGTACTAGTCTACCTTGATGATTATCCACCCATTAGTTCCAACAACCCGTTAATTACACAAAATGTCTAACTGCACTTGTTTCAAATCTCGCATCGAAATGGCGCATTCCCGTGTGACCTAGATCGGGCCCAATTTGCCGCCATGATGTATCCCATCAACCCCAGCTCCTTCAGAAATCAAACGGATTTCCTGCACTCGAGAAACCTTCCTCGTACGTCATAAGTTACGATCCACGTATGCAAATGTCAATGATCTGGTCATTAGGGTTGACCCCATTCCCCACTTTTCAACCGCTCCCCCCTCCCGCCTCATGTTACCTCGACTTCTCCTATAGCTTATCCATTACTCTCATCTTTATTCTTTAATCAAATATTAATTAGCTAATGCGTTTTCATTGATACTTATTATTTACTAGCTTAGTAATATGAGTGGGCGACACTGGAAATACCACTGATCAAAGCCCATATATGGCAGGAACTGAAGGCGGGGTTGTTAGTGTTAAATTGTAAATCTGGCGCAGTTGCTGTTGTATACAACTACAATCAACGTCCTTGAAATATTATTGTGTCGGGGAGGCAGCGCGGTCGGGCGGAAGAGTCCATGGTTGCAAAAAACAAACTTTTTAGTTCGCACCCCCAGGCAGATGAGTCTCGTTAGCTGGGGATAGGAATCCATCTACGAAAGATAACTCTAAAATCAAACAACTGCTGTTTTGTAGATTCATTTTGGGTTGACGAAGGCTATGGAAGCAAATCCATAAAGGAAAAAAACAAGCTCAAGTCGAAATGTACTGGCCATATGGATCCTAACATACTGACAAGTAATATTTAATGGTCTTGGGGGAAATCCCCTTAAATTTTACAATTAAGAAAGAAGACGAAGCTGTTTTGTCAGATTGTCAAAAGCAAAAAAAAAATTAAAATTAAAAAAAAAAAAAAAATTACCAACCGTGTAACAAACTTACTCAACGTCAACGACGCGCGCAATCGATACAGTTTTTTTTACAACTGAGTAAATATGTGAGTAGGTTTGTCTGTTTGACCAGTGATGGAGCGAAACGTAAATCCCTACTTTGGGTATAAAGTAAATGCTGTTGTGTGTTGAAGAGTACTCAAACACGAGGGTGATAATTTTAAATACAGAACATATAGAAAACTAAAATGCTATTTTGAATAATTACGAAGCCTGTTTTGGACTGCTTTAAAAACTTCTCAATTTTGTTTTCAAACGTCAAAAACTCCATTCTTAAAACTTTGAGACTATTATTTGAAACATCTACATTCTATTCTCAGAAAAACTAAATTGCACTCTTAAAAGTGTCTAAAGTGCAATTAAGATATGTTTCCAAAACCTCGAAATTGCACTCTCAATATCTCTAATTTGTCTCAGAACATTAAATGTATATTCCAACATTCAAGAGAAATAAAAGGTGAAAGTACAGAGAATCTAAGAGGTTGGGGTGGGGTGGAGGGGGGGTGGGGGGGGGGGGGGGGGGGTGGGGGTGTGGGTCATAAAAAAAACTGATGTGTGCAAAGAGAAAAACAATGGACGGTAAAGAAAGAAATAAAGATGGAGAGAAGGACCGATGACGTGGACAAAAAAAAAGTCCTGAGAGGAATGACGAAGATAAAGGGTAAAAAGTAAAAATAGAGAATCAGTTGGAGGATGGAATATATGATGAAGCATCGGAGTATAATAGACGGGGGAGGGACGGATAAAAGGAGGAGGGAGATACAGTGGCGTAGCTAGGATCTTTGGGCCCCTATGCAAAAATTGTTAGTGGGCCCCTCAGAGGCGTAGCGACCCTTCCCGGCGACCGGGGACAAACTTTCGATTTGCACCCCCACCCCTCAGACTTACTTTCGATTTGCACCACCCCCCCCCCCCCCCTCAGACTTTCGATTTGCACCCCCCCCCAAACTTTCGAAAAAGGGCCCCTATTTGCCTTGGGCCCCTATGCCTTGCTTACGCTAGCTTTACGGTAGCTACGCCACTGGGGAGATAGAGAGAGCGCGCGCCTTAGAGAGAAGAGAGAAATAGAGGTGAGAACTGCGATACCTAATTATGAGGCTGAAAATGCAATAAAGGACAGGACATTACGCGGAGAGAGGGGAGGGGGTGAGAAAAAATGGAGAGAGGGAAAGAAAGAGAGGGGATGAAAAAGAAAGTAAGAGAGAGAGAGAGAGAGAGAAAGAAAGAAATAAGAGTAAAGTAGATTGCTAGGAATATGGAATGACAGATTGGAGTTTTAGAAGAAATAGAAAATAAATAGAACCAGAGACAGTTGTAAGAGAGAGAGAGAGAGAGAGAGAGAGAGAGAGAGTGAGAGATGTAGGGAGAGAGGGGGGAAGGGAGTGAGAAGAGAGAAAGGTGAGATGCGGGGAGTTGATACGTAAGGGAGATGAGAAGCTAGGAGTGAGAGAGTTTGGATGAGAAAGAGGGAGTAAAAATCTGTGAGAGAGTGGGAGTGAGAGTGTGGGAGTGAGAGAGTGGGAGTGAGAGAGTGGGAGTGAGAGAGTGGGAGTGAGAGAGTGGGAGTGAGAGAGTGGGAGTGAGAGAGTGGGAGTGAGAGAGTGGGAGTGAGAGAGTGGGAGTGAGAGAGTGGGAGTGAGAGAGTGGGAGTGAGAGAGTGGGAGTGTGAGAGTGGGAGTGTGAGAGTGGGAGTGAGAGAGTGGGAGTGAGAGAGTGAAGTGACAGGGCAACGAAAGTGTGTTACAGCTTGTGATAAGAGGTTGGTAGGATAGGGGAGGGGGGGGGGATTTCGGGGGGAGGAGGGGAGAGTGTATGAATGAGACAAAATGTGAAAGACGTGTGGGAAAAAAAACCTGAACCATCACGTCATCCCGACGTCAACCACTTTGTTGTCTGTCACGTTTGCCGGACAAACCGGATCCGGTCGCTGGGTTCATTGTGCAGGTTTTTTTGTCTCCGTCTCTTCCAGCGTCGTTGGTAGCCCACTTCCGGTTACACCGGTAAGGATAATAAGCTGCCTAATTATAGCCGGTGTGACACAGACGACAACCCCCCCCTCCCCCCTCCCCCAAACCTCCATTCACGTGTCTGAAAAATCTGGTCAATAATTTACGATTTTAAAAGTAGAGATGTTTTTTATACATCTGATTTTTTTTTTTAAACTTCTGTTTTATTTTCCCATTTTCTCTCTTAGCTGACGGTGGACGCATGAAAAAAAAAATGGGTCTTTGTCCTCTTATATAGAAAATACGATTACAGCTAAAAATAGAACGTTTGAACTAAACTATCCTCCAATTTATTTCGCTTGCATAATTTTAGTGGATAGTTATGAAGCAGCAGCTTAGGACTAAGGCATCTACCCATAAACCATTCTCACAATGGGGGTCGGACTACAGCGAAATCGTGTGGATGTTGGACATTGTTGATTCAGGCATCTCTTCAGGGTGGGGAGGGGGGGGGGTGCCATTACTGCGAAGCTCGTCTACCGCCTCCGCCCCCGAACGAAAAATAATGTATGTAGAAAATATATACTTTTACTCTTCTTCTTCTTCTTCGTTCTTAATTTTAGTGTTGAGAGGGATTCCCTCCAACATACGTGTCAACTGTTTATGCGCCATTGAGGCCGTTAACTCCGATTTCAGCCAGCTTTTCTTTTTTGGATTTGCTTCCTTTGTCCATTTAAGGCAGCAGTTGTTTGATTTTGGGGTTGTCTCTCCTAGAAGAATAGCTGTCCCCAGCTATCGAGCCTCATCTGCCCGAGTAACCAGTAACAACGTTAAAAAAAAAACAATAACTAATATTACTTGTTCAGATTGTAGGTAGTGTTCCACTATCATTTTATATGTGATTAGAATTTTAGTATTCAACAGATGAAAGAACTTACCTAAGGATGAAAAACACGTAGACAGGGAGGTAACACACAGCAAAAAGGGCGACCACAACTATCAACATCTTAGCTTTCTTCCGTCTAAGTAGCATTTGGGCCTTCGGAACGTTTGCGCTGGCTTCTAAATAGACAAATACATAAGAAATTTGGATCATAAGATACAGTTATTTTAATAGATAATTACAAAAAAGTTGGATAATTAAATACAATTATTGTAATAGTCAAACACAACTTTGAATTATCAAGTAAAGTTGTTTCAATGGAAAAATATAATTGAAATTGTATTGATAGGGTGGTTACAAAAATGGGAAACCCCATAGTATTTTGTATTAAAAAAAAATAAATTTAAAAAAAAAGTATTTTGTAATAAATGGAGGCTGGATTTTATTTTAAAGGAGGAAAACAGAAAAAAACATTATAATCGAGAAAAATATCTGGATAGATAGCGGATAGGCGAAGGAATGTATTAACAAATTCAGTAAAAAAAATATATCAGATATGCTCTACAGACGGACAGACATGGATTAAACATGTTCTTAAGAAGACAGGAATTCATCAAACATGTTCTTTAAAAACCTAAAGAAATACACTAACAAGATATGATGTTAGATAATTTTTTAAAGTTATTGAAGAGCTTTGATCAAATAATAAAATATATTTCATTTTAACTTTATGCGCTTTTTTTTTTTAAATTTGTTTCCTGATGGCAAGAAAAAATCTAACATTTCGTTTTCGTTCACTTTCTTGTTTTCTTATCCGTATAGCTGGGTGGGATTTTTGTTTATTAGCGATATAGATCTAGTAGCATTAGCCAATCAAGCAATATTACATAGTAAAAATCTTGCATGAATCATTCTCTTTCAAGTATTGCTGAGGTTAGCGATGCAGGAATGTTTCTTAAACCTGTTTCAAATACTCAGTTATTTAATGGAAGTCAAGTTCCCATTTCAGACCTAGAGATCCATAGAGCTGGTAAATTAGTTTATGCATTTCAGGCGTTTCTTGACCTCGGCAAATGAAGGGAATGTGTGGCCAGCACTATGTCCAGCCGTCTTTACTTTCCATAACGTGAGTTGGGTATCTATCAGGGTTTGGGTGGACTCAGGGACGTCGTGTAGTCATGACCGAGATCCAACCTCAAGGCTTTTGGGCTAGCAGTCGAGCACTCTACCCATCGACCACACCCTACCCCCGTTATAGAAGAGACAACAGCAGACTGAGCCAGGTCGACAGTACCAGGGTGCAGGATCGAGTACCTCTCGCATCCGTGTGTTCTATCCGCCTGGCCCGGGGGTTTCACTAGGGTTTTGCTTCCTCCCCAGGTATTTTAACACTTTTTCTATTTCGCCGTCCCCCCCCCCCCCCAAACACATCTCACCAACCCTATTATAACCCCCCCCCCCCCAAGCCTCCTTTCTTATATTTATAAATTGTATACACCGCCCCTCCCCACACTTACATCCCTTACACCCAGTCTCCCACACACTAACCACCCTCACCCACCCCGTCCAATCATGTACATTCCCCATTCCTCTCCCCTTAACATTCCCCAAAATAGCCCTCCCCACTTACCACCCCTCCCCTTCCCCACCACCCCTCTCCACCCCTCCTCTTCCCCCCCACTTAACACCCCTCTCCCCTTCCCCCTTACCTACCACCCCTCTCCACACCTCCCCTTCCCCCCACACTTACCACCCCTCTCCACACCATCACTCCCCCTTACCTCCAACCCCTCTCCACACCTCCCCTCCCCCTCACTTACCATCACTCTCGTCGTTGTACCCCGACCTCCACAAACACAACGCGACCTTGATATACGTGAAGGTCATGATCCCGAGCGGTACCAGATAGAAGACGACGAACATAATCCACAGATGGATGGTCTCCACCTCCATGGACCAGGTGGGCTCGCAGACGATGCCCTGGTCGTGGTCCGAGTAGTCCAGCACGTCCACAGAGTAGCCGTCTGGCACCGCAGAGGCCAGCGAGATGACCCAGACGATTGCGATGGCACGTTTGGCCCTGACCGAGGTCTGGCGGAACATGAGGGGCCGGCATATGGCCAGCCATCTCTCCACGGCGATGGCGGTCAGGGTCAGGACGGAGACGAGAATGGATATTTTCTGAGGAATAGATAATGGTGGGGGGGGGGGGGTAATTGGTAATTAGACCGGTGTACGTGTGTACACACGCATACTTCATAAACACATATATTTACCTCATGAAAAAACAATCATGTCATAAACACATGCTCGTATGTGATATTGACACACTTATACCTCAAACACGCACAATTAAACACCATAAACACCACATTTAAACACCATAAACACACCCCATAAACAGACTTCTACACCTCATAAACACACACGCACGTCATAAACACACACTCATACTTTATAAACACGTATTTGTACCTCATGAAACCTCATGAAACCACATAAACACATGCTTGATTGTCATAAACACACACGTATACCTCAAAAACGCATATTAACACACATTAAAACACCACAAGCACACTTTTAAGCCCCATAAACAAACTTATACCTCATAAACACGCACGCACGTCATAAACACACAAGCACGTCATGAACACACACTCATACGTCATAAGTACACACTCATACGTCATAACCACACACTCATGCGTCATAAACGCACATTCATACGTCATAAACGCACATTCATACGTCATAAACGCACATTCATACGTCATAACCACACACTCATACGACATAAAACAAACAGAATTTTTGCTCACAGACACACTGATAAAAGAGACACAAATACTCATTCACACACCCACACACTCACACACACAATAGAGTAAATTTTAAGCACTTTTTCAATTAAAATAAAGTTATCCTTCTATAACAAATATCAAGCATTTAAAACGACAATTAATAAAAGAGGAATATAGCTGTAAAAACGAATTACTCATGAAATGTTATTGTTATTGTTCCGTAGCAAGTTTAAAAATTACACATACGTTAAACAAGCCAACTAGTTTTTAAAGAAAGCTCTTATGCTTCTGACGTCCATAAAACGTCATTAGCTCGTACAACATTGGTAAATAAAGTGTGAAATGACCTCGTTGGTGGATTTTAATTTGTTTTTCTTCATACGCAAATATTTGTGCATGCATTGCGCAATACTTATTATAACGAAGGAATGAAAACACGATACAGCATAAATAATAGGGATGCTTGTTTAAATAATCTAGTCTAGAATTGTTCAAAATTTAGAGGGGTTTTAAAAGGGGGATAAGCGTAGATGCAGGATTATCTCCCGCAGAAGTAACTCATACTTAACTAGAGTAGTCTCCCTTCCAGGACTCTTAAGGTAGAGTCATCTCCCCGTCTGTTAACTTCGAGAAGACTATTAACACGAATAAGGAAAAACTCCATCGCTGAAATAATTGCGCATTTTAATTCCATAACACGGCGGGGGATTTTAGCCGTTCTATTTTTTTACATAATTAGATGAATTATTTTTTTTCTTTATAGCCCCTTCGTCTTGAAATTTTAAGGGAATGTATTAAGTCGCAATACGCTGTGATACATTATTAGAGATACATTTTTTTTTCATTTTAAAAATAGAAGAAAAAACACATCTACGCCGACGTTAATTAGCTTGGTTAATTTAATAGATCTGTCAAATACGGTTAATATATTTTTAAAGTTTAAGTTTTTCAAATAAATGTGTGTAATCAAAGCGGTACGGTACGAAAAAAAGCAGTACGGCTGAGAGTCTATCAAATTCAGGGGTGGATCTTTGTATCTATGTAAGATTGAATCTGAAAAGACACACTAGAAAGGCAGCCTCTAAAAAATACTTATCATAAGAGCCCAGAAGCGTGTTAGCATCTCTGATACAGCTCTTAATTTAAGTTAAAATAAACGTTTGAAATGACAAAATATTGTAATATTTAAAAACTCCAAATACCATCTCTTTTTCGACTTGAGTAACAATATACATTTTGATGCGCTCTGAATTTTAATGAAAGTGACTGATCTATAAACAAAAAGAGGAAGAATTTAAAAAATAAAAGATGTGTTTTAAAGGGTAAGAATAAAGACAAAACAAAGTAAAAAGAAGACATGAAAAAAAGATGACTTTATTTTACGTTCAACTGTAAAAGGAGAGTTATCTTTCATGGGAAATATTTTTGTTGGTAGGATAAGTGGAACTGTGTTACGGGATCACACGTGTAGGATATAACCACACATGTAGGATATAACCACACATGTAGGATATAACCACACATGTAGGATATAGGATCTACCCACACATGTAGGATATAGCCACACATGTAGGATATACCCACCCATGTTGGATATCCCCACACATGTAGAATATCCCCACACATGTAGGATATAACCACAGCATAAACATGTTTTTATATGCGGGGTATGTAGATGCAGGCCTAAATATTTAAGATAACCTGAGCACACATGTATATTTATCATTTAAGTGTATGGTGAATGTTTTACGGATATACGTAGAGATGCAATGACATAAGTTAAATGTAAGGGCGTGGTGGTCAGTAGGGGAGTTGAAGTAGAGTTCAGCTGGTTTTTTTTTATTTCCTCATAATAAAAAATAGGTCGGGTACTGATATGTGCTGAGTAAACTCAGCTAGACACCTCTAGAATTAGAGCAATTGCTGTATGTCACAGAAACAGCGCTAAGAACATTTTCTTTGTAGTTTTAATACTCGTGGAACTTTGAACTCGGACACTTTCCCTCACTCACAAACTCTCTCACACACACTCACACACACACATACAATGTTAATAAGAAACTCGTACTCACACTTACATATTCAGTCACATACACGCCCTCTTCACGAACACTTAGGTCAGGCACGTGCGTGCGTGCATGCCTGCGTGAGCGTGTCTGTAAAGCCGTTAAGCCATGTAACATATTTGGGAAATTAATTGCATCTGCGCGCTTTGAAAGAACGGGGACACTTGATTCGTGTTTTCATAGCGAAATTTGATTTTCTTCAAGGCAAAGCGCTTCCAATCAAGCACGCGGGCCGCCGTTTTATGGGGTCGTGCGGTTTTTGTGGCGTTAAGAACGTGCAGGGAGAATGTTTGTTTGCTCACTTTCGTTCTAGATTTGTCGTGTGTTGGATGCTGGATGGGGGATGATAGATGGACATGTTTTGGTGTGTAGTTTGTAATTAAGTATTTTTATTTAAATTGATAACTTTATGTTGTATTTGAATCTCAGAGGCGTAGCGAGCCTTCCCGGAGCCCGGGGACAAACTTTTCGATTTGCACCCCCCCCCCTCAAACTTTCTATTTCCACCCCCCTCAAGATTTCGATTTGCACCCCCCCCCCCTCTAACTTTCGATTTGCACCCCCCTCAACCTTTCAATTTATTTTTCCAACCCATTTTGGCGCCCCCTAAGGTCGGCGCCCGGGGACATATGTTCCCCCCCCCCTCGCTACGCTACTGATTTGAATCCAGGTATTTTGAAAACAATTTTACACGTTGGTAAATGTTAGGATCAAAACTTCAAAATATTGAAGTTTTATCGTGTATACTGTTCAACTGATACTAAAGCAATTATACGATGTTGCTACATAGGCAAAGGTAGAATAACTCAAACATTTCCGATTGATTTCAATAACGAATAAAATACGTTCCATGCCAAAAGGCTCATGAGTAATATGAAATAATGTTTGTTTGTTTGTTTTTAATTAGTGCACTGTGTCAAGCTCATCTACTTCCTCCAAATAAATCTCGGTACCCATTTCCGCTGAGTAGACGAAGGGGTGTGATTGTACTCTCCTTGTGACCGAAATCGAAATATTCAACAAAACACTACTAGTCACATGGCGTGGTTGGATGATAGTGCAAGATTGATAACCCGAAAGTCTCGAGTTTGAATCCCAGGCTAAATAGCTATACATTTTACATTCAATACAGATATACGTAAGAACTCGATGTTTTGTTTTTGAAATTCTATTGTTGTTGCTTAAGTGTCTGTAAATAACCCCCAGCACACAAACACAGAACATGGTTTCGTCTTGAGATTGAAGTGAAAAATCTGATTTCTACGACCTACTGCAACATAATCCATTGCAAACTTCTTAAATAACCTCCCATAGAATCTCTACAGCAATCACTCTCTACTTCCCCTTGGTACCTCTCCTGGTACATGCCCTATCGTCTCCCCTTAAACATCACCCGTCCCTTGTAGCTACCCCTTACAAACCTCATCAATTAGCTCCCCTGGAAAATTATCCGCATCCTACCCTGAACCTACCTCATCACCAACCTCCCATAAAACCTACCATGAAACCCCACCCTGAATAAATGTACAACAAAACTTTGGTCACGTGGCTGCCCCACTGACTCGAGCAAAGCATTATAAATGCGGGCTACGGTCTCATCCTGGTAAATGTGGCATCAGGGGCAGACAAGCACGTGTCAGGGGAGACTAATCCAGGCTGTTAGGGACCAGCCACACAGTGGAGCCACGAGAGTGCTAGGAAAGCCATGGTAATTCCAGGTCTACAGGGGGTGTTGAGGGGTGTTGAGGGGTGTTGGGGGGTGTTTAAGTACCATGTTCAGGGGGTGTTGAGGGGTGTTGAGGTGCCATGTCTACAGGAGGTGTTGAGGGGTGTTGGGGAGTGTTTAGGTACCATGTCTACAGGAAGTGTTGAGGGGTGTTGAGGGGTATTGAGAGGTGTTTAGGTACCATGTCTACACGGGTGTTGAGGGGTGTTGAGGTGTTTAGGTTCCATGTCTACAAGGGTGTTGAAGGGTGTTTTGGTGGCCTGTCTTCAGGTGGTGTTGAGGGGTGTTGAAAGGTGTTTAGGTACCATGTATACAGGGGGCGTTGAGTGCGTTTTGGCGCCATGTCTTCGTTCATGAGGGCGTTCAGGGGTGTTCATTTTTGTTTTGGAGCAATGTTTTCAGGGAGCGTTCAGGGGAGTTTTGGTAATAACGTAAAAATGGCTCGCTGGTCAAGTCGGTTATAGATGTGACACCTTCTTTTTATTTAATCCAATTCGTTCTGTTGTTTGATTTAACTTGTTCAGTTGCTAACCGCGACAAAACCTCGCTTAAGCTGTTTCGAATCTCCCCCCCCCCCAAAAAAAA